CCCCCCCGGCCGTCCCACAGCAAGAACTGTCCAGCAGGGGCCGAGGAAGAAGCCCATGGGGGGGGCGCTGCTTCCTTGCATCCGATGGCAGCCCCAAATTCTGCCCACTTGCTCAGCTTGCAAAGGCCAGCTTTGATGGGGCGGAAGGGGGGACACAGCCTGGGAATTCTGCACCCCCCCCCACAAAAAATATCCCAGGGATTGTGGCTCTTATGGCAGTTAGCCTCTTTCTTTTGGTTGTTTCGTTTCTTGCCTGGACCCCCTCCCTCTGGAGCTGAGCGCTGACGCCCCCCCCTTCTTCGGGTCCCTCAGCAATGGGCTATTCGGCAGTGATTTGGCCAAAACACATATGGTTAGGGCCCTGCTAAATACCCTCCTAATTACATCTTGGGGCAAGGAGTTCCAGAGCTTAACAACAAGTGGCTGGGTGATGATGTCCCTCTTCTGAGGTTGAATCTGAGATCCCCATCGTCGCCGAGACACATCTACCTTCCTGCTGGGATGTGAGGCCTTCTTCCCGAGGGGCCCACCTCGTCCGGGATCTCCCTCCCCCCACAGGGGCCACCCAGAGTCCCAGGGAGTGTCCATGATGGGCCATGCACGAAAGCAACCTCAAGGCCTCCCAGTCGCACATATCCACTGGCAGACACACACACACCCTCCTGGCATGGATCGGCATCTCCCACTTTCAAAGGCATCTGGGTCAGGGGCTTTCATTACACCTGGTGGTAGGGAGTTCCACAGGCTAAGGAAATTTCTCCTCTCCAACAGCTTTCCTTCCTCTCTTGCCACAGCCTCTCTCCCCCTCCCCAAGGTGGCCCCTTTGGCTTCCCTTTTGCAGATAAGACACCCCCTCTCCCTCTGGGTCTTTTCTCAGAACAGGCCTTCCTGGGCTCTGATCCACAGACTCAAGGAGCCAAAGGTCACCTGTTCATCCAGGAAGTTCTGGATGAAGAGCCCTGTGCCACTAGGCTTGCCTTTTGGTGACTCCGATTGTGGAATTTTGCCCACACGCCGCATCGTTTCTCTTTTCAGTTTTGTGTCCGATTGCAAAGGAGAAAATTGAGAGGCACCCAGAGGCGAAAGCCTGCCGAGAAGACACGCACAACACGCCTTCACTCTTCCCGTTTACACAGGCAGGGAAGCACTGGTGGTAGCAAGGCACTCGGTGCAGGCTCAGAGGAACTCTCTTGAGGCACAAAACAGCCCTTGGCTGTGTGTGTGTGTGTGTCACAACGGGACGCAACACCCGGGCGTTCATTGTTTCCCAGCCCTGGTTGCTGGGCCAAAAGGGGGTCCCCAGGAAGAGCAGAGTCAGAGAGGCCAAGGTGGTGGCAGTGCAAGACATGAGGGAGGGAGCATGAGGGAGGGAGGACAGGGCATCTGACCAGCCCCCCCCCAATGAAGCAGCTTGAGACGCCGCTATCGGGCATGTCAGGCGGGCGCGCACACCACACAGCCAAGAACCTGCCCCATGTCCCAACATGACGAGACAGCCCATAGGGAGATCACAGCTGGGCAGCCCTTCCCGCTGGCCCCGCTAGGGGGCGCCTCTTCCTCGACCGGCGTGGGAACAGGGGCCTGGGAACGAACGCGGGAGGACTGGGAAAGTTCAAGGTTTGGTCTGGGGATGGAATCGGGAGGTTTGGGGGTTAAAATCCTTCCTGGGTCCCCCCCTCCCGCCCCCTAATTGGAAAAACAAAGATCTCGCCAGAAAAATACTAGTAGCAGAATAGTCACTTTGCCTTTTAAACTTTCTCAACAAAATTCATTTCTGGACATACACCACTTAGACCAATGACCTATGTGTGTGTCTTGTGTTTAGCAACAGTTCAATTAGAGCCATCCAGATGCCATTTTCTAAACCACTCCCCTGCCATGATGCTCCCACTTCAACTAAGGCAGGTGTAAGGCCGATGGGAGTGGCAGGTGAAAAGTCCACGAGAAGACCATCCCATATTAAGTCTCTGGATGTCATAAGCAATTCCACCTCTGCTCTTACATCTCCCAATTAGAAATGGTCTTTTAAGAGTGGAAAAAATGACCCAGGAAATCACAGAACCAGGAGGCCAAGCCTCATAAGATGATCATTGCAACTTGATTTAAATTAAACATCCAGCAGTTTAAAAATAAAACAGCAAAACCTCCAACAGACGTGGAAAAGGAATTACTGAAGATTTATGTTGGGGGGGGGGAAATGCTACTAATGAACGCTCCTCCACTTTTATTTACTTCAGTAATTACAGATTTCATACTTCTGCGTAACTGTTTTTGTCACCTCCCACCCAGAGACACACCAATTTAGGGTAGACCTGTATTTTCTGCACCAAACAAGACCACAGGCGAACCCTCTCCAACCGCCAGCTGGACACTGGCCTGCTCCCGTATGGGTAAAAGGCAAGAGTTGATTTGGGGATATGTCTGAAGCTGGAGATACTTTATTCAGGGCATCTCATGGGTAAAACAAATGGGATGAGTCAGAACAGACCCAGAAAACAGTCAATGGCATGTCCGGGGTTGGCACAAAGGAAGAAGAGACGACTGCTCCTGAAACAACGGGGTCCAGAAAATTTGGATGAAGGAGCTGCAATAGATCCTACCGAAGGAGAGCTACTACTGGCTTGGGAGTAGGAGGAAGGAGAACCACTGATCTGAGACCGCAGGGTTGGCACTGAAGAATTTGAAAGGGTGCCTCATTTTCAAGCCTTGGAATGTTAAAGCGGATGTTGGGTGGGCCCACCTGGCAGGGACAATTTTGGGGGTGTAGGTTTTCTGGGTGTGGGCTGGGCTCAATTCCCCTTCTAGTTCCACCACCGTGTGCTTCTATGCCCCCTCCTCCCCTTGCCTCACAATGAATCCACCACCACCACCTTGTGTACTGCCTTTTTTTATTGTTATTTACATGTTAAAGAATCAGAAATTTTAACATACAATAAGAGGAAACAACACCCTTAAAAGGGCAAAAGGGGCAATAAAAGGAATGGTAGAAAAAAAAAAGAAATGTACAGTCAACATAAAAATGAAAAAGACTCAAGGGTGACCAAACCCCCCCACCCCACAACTCATCTCCCTTGAGGGGCAAAGAACATGCTTTCTCCTTTACGCCCAAGGTTACGTACACGGCTGCACTCACTCCAGATCCCATGGAAAGCCACGGATGGGTGGGGGCGGGGCGTTGAAATGAAATAAATAAAAAGAACTTTGAGCGCCTGCCAAGAGGCGAGCAAAAGGAGGAGGGCAACTTTTCCCTCCCCGCGAGGCTTCTCTGTGCCTAGCCAGGCTCCAAGTCCTCAGTGTTCAGGGCGGGGGAGGCACGCAGACCGCCCCCCTCACCCCGCAGCAGTCTCTTCAATCTGTCCCTCCAGGGAAGGAGCGTCACAAAACCAAAACTTGCTAAACGCTTTATAAAAAACCACAAGTTGTTTTTTCTGAGTCAAAACAAAACAGTAAAACACCGCCCGCCCTCCCCCACGGCCGGAGCAAAACTGTACACAAGAGCCGGAACACCCCCAACGTCGCCCCACCCCATTGCAACAGCACAAACAGGGCGGGGGGCCAGCTCTGGATCCACAATCCGCGAGAGGGAGGCGCAGGGAAGGCCCCCCTTTCTTCTCTCCCCCCTCCCTTGCCGAGCCCCCTTTGCGCACTTCTCTCCAGTTCTGGTCCTGCAGAACGGCTTGCGAACATGCTTCCTGCCCTCCCGCCGAGCCCAGCCTGCCCGTCGGGCGTCTCTCCTCCGGTGCCCCCCCTCCCAGTCCGCCTAACTGGAGTCGGAATCGCTTGTGTCCGAGGAGGAGGAAGAGGAGCTGGAGCTGCTCGTGTCGGAGCTGGAGCTGCTGGCGCTCAGGCGCGAGACGGCCACCTGCTGGGCCGATTCCGGCTTCTCGTTGGCTGCGCAGGAGGAGGAGAAGAAGAAGAGCAGAGTCACGGGCAGAGGAAAGACATGACCGAGATAATCAAGGAAAAAATAAACAAACAAGACCTGCCACCCCACGGTCACCCGGAAAGGGAGACGGCCACATCGCAGGAGACACTGACCCTTCTTTGTCGGGGGCTTCTTGGCCGAATTCAGCTGCCCGCTGACGTCCTGCAGGCGCTTTTCCAGCTCCCGCTTCTTTTCCAGGGCCAGCTCCTCCTTCGTCTTGCCCACTGGCTTCTTCAAAGCTACAAGGAAGAACACACACCCATCGAGGAATCAATTCCAGCCTTCCTAGTACACCTGCCCCACCAGCTCTCCCCAGAAGGCCTATTGTTCCAATCGGCTTTATAGGTAGCAACTGGATAAGGATCCAGCTTTACCCGACGGCCCCCAAACTGAATGCTTCATCCCCCACCCTGTTGTCCTTCCAAATTAGAGCATGACACCTTCAAGACACACGAGGTTGCTATTCTGCTGAAGAAGGAAACATTCCTGGGTAGGGCAAACATCTCTGCTTCTCAACACCTAGCAAGATGGGAAGGGGGGCTTGGCAGCCAAGGAAGCCACCTGAGAGCAAACTACAAGGGGTGCTGGGCCCTGGAGGATCTTAATGCAAAAGCAAGGCTAGCTAAAGTGCCCCCTTCCTCACCTCCACCCGCAGTTTGCAAGGGCCTGCTGGTATGCTCTCCGGATCTGGCCAACCAACCCAACCCCCTCCTCCCCTGAGCCCCTTCTTCTCTGGCAAAAAAGGATCCCCTGAGGCAGTCCTTCCACCTCACTCTCTCCCTCCGTACGCACACACACACTCACTCTCGCTGTAGGGTTTGCGTGGCTTCTTGCGCAGGCACGAGAGGACGTAGCGCTCCAGTTCCCGCAGCGTGGAAGGCTTGAGCGTTTCAAAGTCGATCTCGATCTCCTCGGGGTTGGAGTCGCGCAGGGAGGGCTCCCGCGACTGGATGATGTGCACCACCCGGCCCAGCTTCTCTCCCGGCAGGCGGTTGATGTCCAGGCTGAGCTGGCGCTTCTCGTCGTACGTCATGGGCTTGCTCTCCTCCTCCTCCTCCGAGTCATACAAGAGGGGGACCGGGGGGGCCAAGACCTTCCCACTGGCCTTCTTAGAGTTTCTAAAGGGGGGGGGAAGCAAAGGAAGAGGGAGCTGTTAAGCACATGCCTGGGGGCTCCTGCCTGTCACTCCCAGGGGCTACACAAGGGAGGTGGCTGGCAAGCGACAGCTGTCAGACTATCTTGGCTTGTTC